TAATTTAACTGATCTTTATCATTAAAATGGAGGGTCATCTTAGATTTGTGGAGAAAAATATCAACTGTTTAGTGTCTAACCTTTTGGGGGCAAGATAGGATTACATTAAATCAGAGTTGTCTTCCTTTCAGAAGCTACGTATTGCCTAAATCTGTACATAGAGCAGGGGATTTTAAATGGGATTTAATTACAGTAGATAAAAAAAAGTAGCTAAAGGAACAAACTACCAGGAGATGCTATAGATCAAATCACATTCCTTCGTGATACTTACCTTTGTGGACAGATTATATGGCAACAAGCTTCAAGTAGAGTGAAATTTCTCCTAGGGTAAATCTAGTTCCTTTTGGACATTTCAAACTGCTTCTGTTTTTCTAAGAAAATAATCTTCCATTTTTTTCTGCCTTATTTGTAGCTCATAATCTAGCTATAACATTTGTGGGGGAGGGGTGTTCCTTTAGTTATGCTGTCTGCAGATAACAAATAGTTTTCCATCTTGTCTGTCCTTTCTTATAGGGCTCATCTCACTATGATATTAGATGCAATATTCATGAAACTACTACGGGAACCGTTCCCGGCAAGGATTTCCCTTACTCTGACCATGAAGCTGTGAATGTGACACTCTCTGTAGTCCAATCAAATAAAAGTGAAAACAATCTTCCAGTTGGTGAGTGTTCAGATTTCACTGGTTTCCCACAAGCGGAGCAAAAGCAGCAGGAAGAGAGAATCTGTGGCCTTCCAGTTAATGTTGAACCACAGTGACCATCGTTCCTAGAGAGGGAGGCCTCTCTATTGAGAGATTCTTGGAGCTTAAGCAGCATCTGGAATCTCCAGATTCCCTATGGTTCTGCAAGAGGGTTCATAGGAACAGTCAGACAAAAAAACAGCATGCAATGACTTTCTGGCAAATTAATTCACTTTTTTTTTTATATGCAGCATAACAAATATTCACATTTCTCTTCGGCAGCTTCAGCTCTTCTCCTTCTTTTGGTTTCTGTCTTCAGGGGAATATAATGAATTGCATTATGGCCTAATTGCTCTAACATTCTGGGATTAACTAGCTCCCTGCCTGCACTGTAGCAGTGCTTCTGCTAAAATTGACCATACCTCCTTTAAAATGTAATTGTTACTAAATTCCCCAGAGTTCATCAAGGACTTTAATTAAAACTTTAGCTGGCAATCTCTTGCAATCAACACAGACTTGATTTTCTCTCTGGTTTCTTCTTCCTCTGGATGTCTCTGCTGAGTATATTGGTGCTTTGTTACATAATTCTCTTTTTTGGTGATCATCAATTAGTCTGCCTGGGGCTGCTAAATCTTTGCTTGTTTGCCAATTGTCTTTTTCTCTTGCTTGGAATCCAAGCAGAGTGCTATTAGTCTCTGCCAGCTTTTTCAGCTCATTCAATTCTCTGCAAGTTTGTATATGAAAAGACTCTTACCATATCTGGTGTTTAGTTTGAAGTGATCACTCTCATCATTAGAGTTTGTGTATCTAGGACAGCGGTTTCCAATCTTTCTGGCTCGGCAGACCGGTGGAAGCGGCGGTGGCGGGATTGGGAGAGGGGATGGTTTGCATGTGCGTGCGTGCGCTGCTTTCACAAATGCAGCTTCGCATTGCATGTGCTCGCCCACCACTTCCCCTGGTTCTGGTTCTGAATGGGCTGCATCCTGGCACTGGGCCACGGACCAGAGGTTGGGGACCCCTGAATCTAGGAGATCATGTAGCAGGATAGCAGATGCTATTTACCTTCTCTTATTTTGTCACAGCCTACATCATTATTCATTATATAATTTTCTACCCAGGCACTTAGATAAAGCTAAATTCCCATCCTGTTAGTTTCAGAAAGAAAACTGTCCGCTGGAGTAGCCCAATAATTCCCTCCCTCTCTTGATAAAATAGCAATCAATCCGGGATATCTGGATCTCACTGTGTAGAATGAACAGCTTCGTGTGGTTGAAGCTCACCCTTCTCTTTGCTTCTAGAGCCAGTTCTGGTGGATGTCTTGAATGAAGCTCGTCTAGAGGTGCAAGTGGGGTTACATTCAGCAAAACGGCAGCAGTACTTCTGTGGCCGCATGGCTGTCCTGGCTCTTCTCCTGCTGGTTATACAAGGAGCCATGGCCATAAGTTCCATGTTTGGCGGAGCTCTCCAGCAGCCCTTCCCCAAGTTCTCCTTCTCTTTGCTCAGTCTGCTCTCTGTGTCAGTCCTGCTTATCTCAGCTGTGCTGTATCTCTTCCACATCGTTGAAGTGAAGGTGCTGCAGGGAACAGAGGAACAGATGCGGGTGGGGCTGCAGACGCTCCAGGAGAAATTCAATAGCAGGTGAAACATTGGATGGATGGTATGGACCAACAGACTGGGTAGAGGTGGGAATAACAAGTCCCTTTGGGATTCTCAGCAATAACAGTTCCCTGGTTTTTAAATAAGGAATGACAATTCACCTTTGATACTGTAAGCGGGGAGGGGTTAATAGGCTGAATTTTTGAGCAATATTTTTTTAAAGATCTTTTTTGTGCTGAAGACATGGATGGGTTTTGAAATGAACCTGGCTATTTAAAAAACCATTTTTATCATAAAATACTGTTTTAATAGAATTAAACAAATAACGGGCTGTTAACTTTGTACTGAAAAAGCAGGTAAGAACAGATGCGTAAAATAAAACATTACTAATTGTACACAGCTGCTTTTCCTACAATGTTTTCAGATGTACGAAATAAATGGCAACAATTATTGATGGGAATCTGTTTTTCATATGTACCTTGCTGTGTAACACTTTAGCATACAATTATCTTTCACCACTGTAGCTCCCATTCATTGAAGGGGAAACAGAAATGGAAGAACTGGGCTAGCAAAGCTGAATAAGTTTTACAAGCAGTCTTTGAATTTCAATCACAACTGGGTCTGGAACTTCTATCACTAAGCAGTGTGGTCATTAAGTGAGTCACTATGTGGCCAACCAATTTTACTTTTACCATGACATGGTCATTAAGCGAACCACAGTCTTAAGCCAATCTGGCTTCCCCGGATTTGCTTATTGGAGGCTGTCTGGGAAGGTCAGAAGTGGCAATCACATGAATATGTGCAGGTTGCCTAGTGCCTGAATTATGATCATGTGGCTGTGGGGATGTTATGACAGTTATAAGTGTGAGGACCAATTGTAAACAACTTTTTTCAGGGTTGTTGTAATTTCCAACCGTCATTAGCCTAATGGTAAATCAAGGACTACCGGTATATAGATTAGTTGTATAACAAACCAGTCTATTTGTATTAATGTTTGTTCACACTCTCCAGATTCTAGACAGAAGGCTGTTCTCTAGCACTATTAGCTGAGTTACTTTAATAAGATGTATGTAAGGGATTCTATCTCAACTTACACATGAAGTTTTGTTTTGTCTTTCTCAGTCTTTTAAGTTCATGTATGAATGTCACTGCAATTGGAATATGAATCTTTTATAGAACTGCAACTAATAATCCTAATGAATAGATTGGGGATATGCCTCAGGGATTAGGTGCTATCTTTAAAATTTGGGGAGAGTTTAAGGGATGCAATGGGTGTGTCTAGTTTTCTCTTTCTTTTGTGGTTGGAAGAAATTCTTTGACTCTGTTTTTCGTGGTGTTACTTTGCCTGAGGAATTTCAGTAGTCAGGCTCCAGGAGCCATAAATTGCTCCACCTGCCCTGTGAGAAAGAAGAGCTGTATATCCAAGAGAGTTGCTTCCTATTACAACCCTGAGGCATTACATGGCACTTTTAGCCTTACCGTGACTCTTCCATCACAGGTAGTCAGATGTTATTCTATGTGATTCAAACATTTTACTGGAATTGAACACACAAGTCTTTACATTTTGCATTAGCTTTAGGAGCTGTCCAGTTCCTGGTGCTTAATTGTTGTAGGAAGGGATATCTTCAGAATCTATCAGAATATCATTCATCTACTAAATTTCTTTTTCTCAAAAATACTTGATGTGAAAATTATTTTTTAACTGGTTTCAGTTCAAATTCAGGGTCAGGTTTGGCTTAATTACCTCTAGCTAAGAACTGTATTGTCTGCCTTTGCAGCCATTTGCAATCTTACTTAAAGCCAAATAACATAATCCTGGCTACTTCTTGGAGGAAATTGGGTCAAGACCAAAAAAACTTTGAAAAGGTTTGATGGATATTTCCTCTATTGTGAAGTTAACGGATGACAAAAGACAGAATTGCGTTCTCACTCCATTATGTTTATTGGAGCAAGTCTGTGAAAAATGAGTTGGCTTATATCCATCCAGGAGTAGCAGCTTTCAGATTGTAAATTGACCTTAGTTACCAAATAACATCTGTTCACTTGAAGTATTTCCTCAAGAGCAGTGTATTGTGATCTTCATCCACATTCATTGTTTATTTTGCAGGAAGTGCATACATTTTTCAACCGTACTGCTCCAGCTTCAAGATCTTGCCCTATAGCATCTGTTTTGCTTGAAAAAACGTGCGAGAGATGTATATTTCTCCTTGCACATTTATTATGGCAGAAGTCCTTTGATGATGGCATTTTTAATTTTTATTGTAGGGCATCTATTTCTTTCCTCTGAAATATTCTGCTGATTCTGTATATTCTTCAAGAGATTTTAGCTAAGTGTCCTCTTCTAGAATATAACTCTGGACAGTTTGAAGGCTTCTCTGAATTTCATGAAGGGATCATGCTTTTTTGCTTTTAGAATACTTCTCCACTTAAACAATATAGTCTCTCCTAATTTACCACATCTACATCACATAGTCACCTGCAGCAGTTGGATGAAAGAAATCTTTTCTGTTGGATGAGGCCCTGTGTAAAAGTGGAGCATGCTAACTGCAAATATATACATCAATAGCTAAATAATATGTACATATTCTGAATATCATTTTCCCTCCAAATGCTGCAAATAGACTTCTTTCTTAAAACAGTTCAACAGTTGTATCTGCAAACAATGAAAAGCAGTTCTACATAGTTTCCTTATTATTCCTTAAAATACTTTTTTTTTAAAAAGTAATTGCATCAGATGCTTCAAGCTCCAAAAGATTAGGCTTGTTCATCAGAGTCTAGAATGGAATGGCTTCCCCAATATGAATGATGTTCAGCAAATTTATCCACCAGATAAACCTGACCTCAAATATTCTAGGCATGTTCCATCACTGGAGCATGCTCAGAAAGTTCACTGAGCCGCTTCCTCTCTTGCATCTCGATGAGAGCACTGCGTTGATTCACAATTGCAACCAGTTGGGACAAGATCATCTTCTCTGCTTCATGGTCCTCAGATGTTTTCAAATAATCTTTAAAACAAAAATTACATGCTCATAATAAGGAACCATCATAATATTAATTACACAGTAAAGGAGAAAAAGAACTACTAGGACTGTGAGTATCTGGATTACATCTTCAAACTTCTTTGGTTATGCAGAGGCTAACCATTTCTGGAAAGAGGCAACATCTGAAGAGATGCAAGTTCCCTAGTCTTTATCTATTATTTTGTCAAAGTGAAAATATATTGTGTGGAAACCTGGGATTAAAGTTTCATCATGAATAGATTTCCAAGAATTATACTTTCATAACCCAAATGAATGAATAAATAAATGAACATAAACTTTCCTAGTTTTTCTGCCCCAGCATGGCGTCACTCCATGCACACAGAGTGAACATACCTAAATGCTGGGTTTTTTTTCATTCAAAGGATGAATGCATGCTGTTTTTAGCTGTATTATTAAATGGGCTATTGACTATTGTCAACCAAATTCTTTTATTATTTAAAAAGAAAAATCTTAAGACCAAAAGGTAAACATATACTACCTTTTTTATTTACATTTCCTATCTTGAGAATACCAGACTACATATGGCCATAATAAATATGCTGTTGAAGCCAAACTTTGACAAAACATATGGGCAAAACAAAGACAAATGGGAAACTCCTCTTGGCAGAGGAATATTTTCTTTCAATTTTGAGATTCTATTTGTTACCCAATGTCCATTGTTTAGAACTGTCACAACGTTGGGTCTTCCAGGGCTGTGTGACTTATGACCACCAGACTCCTGGCTTTTCACAATCTACTACATTGGTCATTTCTGAGTATAAATTAAGTGAGCTGATTAAATAGCAGCTATTTTCAGGGCAAAAATTATAGTTCATCTCATAATGAGCTTGGGCAGCTCTTTACTTATTTATTCATTTGTATCCTACTTTATTATTTTACAAATAACTCAAGGTGGCGAACATATCCAACACATCTTCCTCCTCCTCTTTTCCCACAACAACCTATTATGTTCTTTCTTACCATCCAGATTATAGTAGCGCCGTAGCTCTTGATCCAGCTGGCACTGCTGCTCCTCCAGCTTCAGCTCTTGCACACTAAAAAAAATGTCATTGTTACTATCCAGAACTAAGAAAAAATTCCTCATAACATAAGGAATTCCCTTTCCTGGAGTTTCTGCACTGATTTTCTCATTGCAACATGTTGTCCTCTATATATACAGTATGTACACACTCGTTTCAAAAACTCCATACTAAATGAGATGAGGAAGAGCATAAATGTAAATGATATCACTATACCTTAGGTATATTTGTCTAGCTAACAGAAGTATCCTAGTGGAGACTTCCGGTTTGAGCCTCTTCACGGACAGACTGAAACCGCGATCATGCGCGGTTTTGGTCCGCGCTCGCCGCTGGAGCGCCCTGAGCCGCTGGTTTCGGGGCTAAGCCACCCCGTAGAGGTGGTGAAGAGGGGGGAGACTGCCAGCAGGGTTGAGGAGGGCCGCATCTCTCCTCCTCAGCTGGCCATTACTCCCTTTCCCGAAGGCGGTTGCAGCGGTGGTCAGAAATGGCCACCTCAAAGAAGAACCCGACTGGAAAAGAATGTGTAGGAGGAAGAAAAGAAGAGAAAGTTTTGGTTGACCGGGTTAAACTGCAAAAGCAACAACTAAGGTACCCTGGAATTTAAACTAAAAAAAAAAAAGTAACATTGTTCCCAAAGAAGACTTTGAAGCAGCAAAGGAGAGAGAAAAGGGAAAGGATTTGGTTTTTTTCTTCTCTCCCTTTCCCTATACTGACAGCTAAGAGATTTAAATAAGAAATTGAAAAAAAAATCTACTTTGACATCAATAGGCATTTAAGCTGAAAATAAAATGTCAAAGGGATAATAAAGATTTCTGGATACTTAAAAGCTTTTTAAAAGCAGGAAAGGAGAGAAAAAGAATAAAAGGGCAGGATCTGGAAAAAAGGGAGGAGACTGCCTGGAATTAAAAGTAATTTACAGTAAAACCTCAACAAGACTTCTAAAAGAAACATTTTAACTGAAACTTGGCAACAAAATAGGAGAACCCCAGGAAAAGAAAGTGAAAAAAGACGCATGAAGAAACAGCTTGGGAGTATTTGGATTATTTGGTGATCTCTGGATTTTTGGTTATTGCATTTGAATGACTAAAATCAATCGGGTGGTTGTTTAAAAGTGTTTAAAATGACACTACTTTTAGAAGAACTGAAAATGAAACTTAAAAAGTACAAAGAAGATGCACAAGAAGGGAGAGGTTCTTTTGGCTTCGTATTTCAATTCTTAGAAATGGAAATCTGGAACTACGAGAAACAACAAGAAATGCCTGCAGAACAAGAAGATTGGGACAAAGAAGAAGCCATCTTTAAGTAATTTTATGTGGGGGGGGGGAAGGAAAGTGGGGAAAGAGAATGAAAAGTTTAAGATTTGAAAAAACAACCAAGAAAAGGAAGAATAGTTTGAAAAATAAGTATAATATTAGAAAGCAACAGAAGAGGGGAATACAGAAGAGAGAATTAGAAGTAGAGAGACAAGGGGGTAAAAAGGGGAGGGAGAAGAAGAGAGGGAAGAAGGAAAGGAAAAGAAGTTATAAAGGACAGAAACAAGATATGGAGAAACAGGGCCTATTTAGAGATAATGGGTGAAAATTTAATTGAAAAAGAGATTCTGCAAAGGTACGTAAGATAGTATTGTTATATTAGAAATAGAAATAATTTTAGAAAATATGAAACAATGTATGATTAAAATGATGGATAAAATAGTTATTGTAATCTAGCGAAATGTTTGTTAATAAATAAAGGAAATAAAACGAATGAGAGAATTGAATTAGGAAAGGATGGGAACATTTTAATTATTTAATGTTTTATAAAATATAAGGGAAGAGAAATAGGGGGGGGGATTAATTACGGAAAGCTTATAAGTGTTCCCAAGGAAGTATATTTAATTGAAAAGAAATGTTAAAGATGTTAAGATTTTAATGAATATTAATGATAGAAATGAATTGGAATGGAATTGGTATTTATTATTTATCACATTTGTAGGTCACCGAACTCCAAAATGATACTGGATGGCTTCACAATGTTAGAAGAAACAGTATTATAAAATATTAAAGGAGCTATTAATCCAAAACATTAAGAAGGCTGTTTGGAATTAGGTTAAGGGGTAACAGAAATAATAAAGGACAATGAGCTGATGTCAAGTATATTTTTTCTCTTTTGGGCAGAATGCTTTTATTCATACTCCATGATTATCTTATCTGGAGTATGAAATTACATTTTTAACACTTTTCTGGGATGCAAGTGGGGTGTTTATACTGTTCATGCTATCTAGGACTCATTCTGACCGTTTTTTGATATAAGCTGAGAAGCTAGTCCACTTGCTTGCTTGAAGGTTATGTTAGGAGAAACCACAAATGGCTTGTGGTCTCCCTTATAATTCCTATGGCACATGAAAGAGCAGCACTGGATCAATTTTCTATGGTCAAAATGAGTTATGGATCTTAACTGACATAATTTGTAGAGTTCCTTACTCAATCATGAGGTCAGACTCCTCAGACATCAGGCTGTTCTTCTTTTGGATCAACGCGAGCAACTGGTTCATCCACTGCTTCTTCAGTTCAGACTCTGTTCCTAAAGAATATGACGAGGGGAGATGTGAGAAGTTAAATCTGACACGTTGGCTTAAAGAAGAACCATTATACCACTTGTGGCACCCGTTCTTCACACGTGGCCATATTCAAACACCATTCCTATTCAAGGAAACTTCAGATTCTTACCTGCCTCTTCTCGCAGAGATTGTTCCACCTTTATGCCCTGTTTCTCAAGATCCCGAAAAGTCACTTCAATCTCTTCTAACCGCCTCTGGATGGCCTGAAAAAAATGTTGGGTCAAAATATACATTGATTAAAACAAAGGTTTTGAAATGCAAGAAGAGAACCTGCCACCAGATTCTATCGCAAGAGGGAATTTCAGGAAAAGGAAGACAGGTCAGTGAAATACCTTTTAAGACAGGTCAGTGAAATGCCTATCATAACATCACATTTAAGTCTTTACTAGGATCCAAACAGCTTCACTGCTAAGTGTTAATGATGTCATGAAAGAATTTTTGCAAAATCAACACAAAAAGCATGGATAATACAGAAACACCCTTATACATTTTCAAACCCAGGTATAAATATCTCGGAATATCACATTCAGAATTTATATCTTCCTTATGATACTTATTACAAGAGCCATGGCGGCACAGTGGTTAGAATGCAGTATTGCAGACTAATTCTGTTGGGTGCCAGGAGTTCAATCCTTACCAGCTCAAGGTTGACTCAGCCTTCCATCTTTCTGAGGTTGGTAGAATGAGGACACAGATTATTGGAGGCAATATGCTGACTCTAAGCCACCCAGAGAGTGCTATAAAGCATTATGGAGCAGTATATAAGTATTAAGTGCTATTTATATCCTCATAAGAGAGAAGGTTTTACATGCCAGCCATGCCCCTTCTTCCTTTCCCACTTCCCCACACACAGCTCTAATGACATGGAAACAAAGCAGCCAAACAAGGTTGCTGTCCAAGGTAACAGGTATCACACTTGTGAAAGATGCTGCTACACACGTTTGCAGTATTAAACATACTGTTTGGATATAATATTCTTGATAGCTGCAGAGAGCAGGAAGTGAACCTGCCAATCACATGGTGCCTGGGCTTCTCTATTTTTTCAGATCCCATTTCCTTATTTGAATAAATTCTGCATAAATTTCTTGACAAAGAAAATCACCTGAGCTTTACAAAACCTCTTCATTTCGGCCTCTTTGGCTCGTCGCAATAATGTCTTCTTCCAAGTTGGATACTGAGTGTCTTCAGTGAAGCTGAGGAAATGCTGTAAACCACAATGTGCACAGGTAAAAACAAGAGAAGGTCATGCCGGAGGACTTAAAAGCTATTGTCTATCTGCAGCGATTGACTCAGACAAGCCATCGCTGCTTACATGGCTGCTAAAATCAACTGGACTCCTGCATACCAAACATAAAACACTCTTGGAAATGCTCAAATTTCCCCCCAAAATCAGGATGCCTGATGAACAAGCTGAAGTAAAGTTCCCAACCTCTGCAATACAACCCCCCCCCCCCCCCAAGTGATGAACGAATAGATACAATGCCTGTTTGTCCCACAAATAAGACTTGAACAAGAAATAAATATACTGATATGATGATACAACTCATCATGCCTTTGTGATTTAAGCTTATTTTGTTTCTTAACCTCCTCACAAAAATTTTCCTATTCTGAAAGGCCAAAAGTTGAAAATAATGAATAAATATAGCAAACTTCACTAATACTCCAAAAACTACAGATATACGACACAGCAGGAAAGAAATTACTAGGTAATAGGAACAATGCCACTTGCTTTAACTGCACAAGGATCAGCTTTCCAAATAAGATGCTCACTATCTAAATTGTAAACCATGATTTGAGACCACCTGATCTGGATCACTGGGCAAAAGATGAAAGGCCTGTCAAAGATTCAAGAATAACCAACGAAGTTCCAATCTACACCTTTTAAAGTTACACCTCTTAAAGAGTCTGTTAACTACACAGTCTTAACTTGTAAAGTGCATGGAAGCATTCTCTGTTTTCACTGTAGATAGCCTGATGAACTTTGTAAGAGTCTTAGGAAACAATATTTTAGTACAGAAACATTTGCGTTTATTTCAGAGACCTAAAAACTTATTCTAAATTACCTGTGGCCATTTTCTAACCTTACTTCCCCATTAGGGAAAATTAAAGATTGGTATCACCAACTAAAGGGATGTCAAAGCTCCGAGTAACTGTTTCTCACATTACTCCTATCCCCCATGGATTTAAAGAAGTGTGTTGAGATTTGTATTTATCACTTTGGGAGCCTTTTATTGAAAGGAGTTGCTGGGCGTTTCAAAGTCTTGATAACAGTTGTAAAGGGAGGACAATAAAAGAACACCAGGGTGACCAAAACAAAATAGCAATCATATGTAAAAAGATACAGGGAATAGAAATGGGTCTTCTAAGAACCTTGTGTTAGGAAGAAGAAAAGAGTAGGTGATGTATACAGAGAAAACAGCATTCTGGGATCACAGAATGACAAGACATTTACTAGAAAAAGTAGTGAAAGGATGTTTGGCAGTTTTCCTTAATTTTGTGTCCTCCCTATGCAGATGTTCCCCAGAATTCAGTACTGTTGGAGCTGAGAATTCTGCAAGCCAGAGTCCACTCACATGGAAAATACTCAGGTTGAGAAAAGAAGTACATATATGATCAAGAGAAAAGAAAGGCAACCAAGAAGCTTGTAGATAGAAAAACCAGAAAAAGAAAGTAATTAGAAAAAGAAAAAAAAACTTAAAACCTTTGATGGCATACAGAAGAAAGAGCATGCATGGGAGATTTTTTTGTAAAAGCAAAAAATAATACTAAGAAAATATGACAAATGTTTTTTACCTACTAATGTCGTGACAATATGATTCTCCTAGATTACATAAAAGCAACTCTGAGAAATATTTGAAGTATGCATCCAAACATTGTTTTGTTGGAATTCAGGTGTCTTGACTCACCATGTTTCTCCCAAGATCTAAGTTCCCTTCATCTTCTTCCTCCTCCTCCTCCTCCTCCTCGCTGTCACTGGCAACTTCCAGAAAATCTGCCAAAGAAAAACAGCTATGATGAGAAATATTACTGTATTCACTTTGCATGTAACAGAGCCACAGGGGTTCTTTAGGTTAAACTTGCAAGCTTGAACCTATGGCAGTACTCTTTTCTCTGTCAGAATTTGAAAGAAGGCTTGCTTTAATAATATTAAATGCGGCAAATGCTTTGGCATTTCTGCACCATTCAAAATCAGAACCTAATTCTACAAAGGGGAAAACTCTTCAATAGTAAATGGAACACTAGATTTTTTGGGGGGCAAACTTTAGTTTCAAAGGATGAAACCCATCAAACTTCAGTGAAGGATGAATGATTCCTTGACCGAAGTGATCATTTCCGCTTTCTAAAGTTCAAGCAGTGCAGGAGGTGGAGGCATTTTTTAGTTACAGATGAAATGAAAATTTCTTTTAAGAAATGGTAGAGGATTTCACCAATCTGAAATGCAGAGGCAATCACATCTCTGGCCAGGATTGGTCCTGGACAGCCTCCTCTCAAGCAGCTCCTTGGTTTTCTGAGGAGCTCCAAGAAATGAAGTGGGTAAAGAGATGCTGCCGGATGTAGGGAGTGAGAAAATTGCATAGTAAAAAGAAGAAATCAAAGAGTGCATAAAAGAGCTTGGCAAACTGCTTGAACTGATATGGGCAAACTGGAAACTGCCTCAAACATCACCGCCTATTGTAATTTTCAAAGAGATCCAATGTCATGGAAAAGAGCAAGAGAACAACTTTCTGTGGTTAATGATGAGGGACCTTTTGTTTGCAAGGAACACAGAGTTCATAATCTTTTTAAATGGCAACAAAGAAAAAAAAGTCCCATATGATGAATACCATGACAGAATTTGCCTTGCATTATGGAAAATGCCACATAAAATGGATAAAAAGTACGTAAATCACAGACATCTGATTTTCATTCATCCTCTTTTGTTGAGTCTTTACTCCTTCTCTCTTTTACCATCTGCTTGGAACATTTGAGATATAATAAAAAAAAATAAGCAAGGAAAAGAACCTGATTCTCTGCTGAAGCTGGATTCTTCCAGCCCTGTATCTGAAATATCAAGCGGGTTTGAAATTGGACTCAGTCTGGATAATTCAAGCTTTTCCAAGTCTGACAAACAAATTTTCTTCTTCTGGATATTTTCACACTGCATTTGCTCTAGTGTGGGGTTTGAACCTTCTCCCAAAATAGTAAGGCCTGGTCCTTGTGAAAGGAGATTTAGACAAGGTTCTCCCTTAGAGTGACCGCTCCAAATTGCTTGGTCCTGTGCCTTGTTTTCAGGTGATCTTCTGTTTCCCTCAATCTGAAAAGCTGAATCAGCCTTGGGAACAGAGTCACTCGGCTCCTTCTCTCCCACAAGAGAGGACAGTCGAGGTGGATGCTGCGAGGAGCTTATTGTATCGGCACGTTTCTTTTCTGATGGGAATAGGCTGGAGCCTTCACTGCCTTGTTTCTGAAGTGGTTCAGGCTGGTGTTCTGGCAGCTGATCTACAAAGGGAGACATAATCTCATCCAGGTTTTGCCAACGTGGATTTTTTTCTCTCTTTCTCTCTTTCATCCTCTCTTCTTCAGTAGTCCAGTCTAAAAAATTTTTGTCTGATGGGCTGTCCACATAGGATAAAGCCTGCAGAAACAAAACACAACAAGTTTGCAAATGAACTGCAAATATATAAAAAAACATTTGAATACTCTATCATATTGATACCCTGCTCTCAAAGTAGCCAAGCAGGTTCTGAATAGAAAGCTTATAAGATACCATTGCCCATTAATACAACAGTATCTGCATGTTTTCACCAACTAAAGTAGCTGTGGTGTTGTGATTTAGATGTTGACCTAGGACTCTCCCCAGGCCTGGTCATTCTTCTTGATCCAGCGTTAATGCCACATGGAAAAATAGAAGGAGGGAATGTTACTGGTGCTGTTTGAGGCTCCTGAATTAAAGGGGAGGTATAACTCAAAGAAATAATATGGAGAGACATACTGCTTCCAAAACTATAGCTAATAAATAAATAAAAATAAATACGATAAACAACATACATCATAACTACTGAGAATATTAATTTCTAGGCATCTATCTAATCTCTTTTTATTATAACCATTGTGGTACAGCACTCAAAGACTTGATCATATCCTACACGAAGCATTTCCCATCTTACATGACCAGAATCAGCCAGTTATCAGATTTATTGAAAATCTACAGGTGCTAGCAACAATGGCAGAAAGATATATCTATGTTTGTATGGCAAGAAATACCCCCCTCCCTGAAAAAAAATTAAACATAAAATACTTCAAGATTAAAAGAAATGAGGAGGATTGGCACTACCTGATCTGAAATTGTATTTTGCAACTTGCTGCTTAGTTTGGATAAAAATATAGGTTTTGTTGAGAAATAAACAAATTTTAGAATAAGAAATGCACAATCTGAGGTTCAGATGTTATGGTTTTCTATGGTACAATAAAACTAAGGATATTAATTATAATAAAAGTAGCATATTGAGAGTATGAAATAAATATAAACTCAGATTGTGCCTGAAAATTCCTTTATGAATCTCAGCACAAGCAGCATTTTATAGGAAAAAAAACAGTACATAAAGAAAAATGATTAGCCTATCGAGAGTTGTTAGAACAGGAACATGAAGAATATAAAATGAAATCAAGAGAGCAAGTGACTGCAGAGGAATTGAGTTTTCAATGGCTTTTGTATGCACAATTAAGAGATTTATGGTAGAGAATAGAACATTTGGAACTGAAAAGCAGATGAAAGAATTTGAAATTGAACTATGTGCAAATGATGAACATGTAACTCTCCAAATGTATAGTATAAACATTTATTGACATTTGTAACACAAAAAGAGCAAATGAAAAAATAGGCTAATAATGCATGATAAAATAGACTAAGAACTTTGGGCATAACATACTGATGGAATAGTGGGAAGATATATGGTTAAAAGGATTGAAATTTACATTATGTTATAATCCAAAAGTGACTGTTTATAAAATGATATATCTATTGGTGTATGACTCTAGAAAAATTGTCTGAATGTATAAAGGAACTTCAAATTTATGTTGGAAATATGGACATCATGAAGTATCATTTTTATCATCCCAGATGGGAATGATAAAACCTCAAGCCTCAACCTCTTAAACCTCAAGTCCCAAATTTCTGGGTTCAAATACATATAATAATATAAAGAAATTTAAAGATCAACATTTAATTGAAACCAGAACTTTTCTTGCTGGGATTAATGGATAGCCAATTAGAAAATAGCCATGGAAGAACTAACATAGCAAAATTAATTCGTTTTGGTTAGAGAAACATCAACAATTAGATTTATCAGTACTGGGAGCTCCTCATGGACTTTTTTTTTTTTTTTTTTTTGCTGAAAAAAGAGAAGAATTTGTGATTTATTGGTTTTCAGATTAGAAAGAGGGGGCTTATAAAAAGAAGTGTCTTATGATGTAACTTTAGAGAGGACAAAATATAAATATATTTATAACTGTTACCAAGATCAGAAGCTGCCTCTTTACTAATCTTTTTCATTCTCAATTCTATTTTCTTTTCCCCCCTCCCTATTTATTATTTTTCTTTAGGCTATTTTTTTTAGGCTATTTGTTTAAAAAAATCTTCAATAAAATAAATAAAAATTATTTAAAAATATAAAAACTCTGAATTTGAAGCTGGTTTCCTATCATTCTGATTGTTCTTGCGCCTTTTACAGAGGAAGAGAAAGCAGTGTTATAATTGTTCCCTCTCAGCTCTGAATGAAAGTAGGAGCAGCGTCTTACAAAGCAGGATTCATCTCTGCATGCAAATAAAGAAGTATGGTTTGTTTTTTTACAGATGAGAGTAATATGCTACATTCTCTTCTTGCATTGGTTCTGGCTTAGGAAGCGAAGCCACTGTTCACAGTTCTTACTGTATAATGTTGTGCTTGTCTGTCCAAATTTGTTTAATCACACCCACAAGAAAGTGGAACCAAGCATGGGCAAACAAGCAGTATCAGCGGTAAACTGCTTGTCACAATAAACTAACATTCAAATCTTGCATGGTGTTCAAACACAATCATTTCTTTTGACAGGTGGCAGGGAGAGACACAATGATCAGAAGTATAGTAGATTTCAGTAAAGGGATTATGATGCCAGCTAATTTGCTTTTGATTTCTTCCTTACATATTTCCTTTTTTTCACATAGCCACCCCCACCCCCCAAATCATTAGTTTTACTTTGCTACCTACACACACAATCAATTTCCTGGTCAGTGTCTTCCAACTGAGATTCTGTTCAGAATATGTGGGAAATTACTGTTGTGTTGCCCAACATGCAAATGACGTACATCTGCTTAGATTACATCATATTTTCATGTTTTCATTATTGCATGTCTAAAGATATTGTTCTAAAGCATTTTGTTTTTATCAGCACTGTCAGCAATCTGAACAAAACATTGATCAAACTCAAAACTCAAAACCACAGAAAAGATCCTTCTCATATAATCCAATCCTTTCAAGAATATCCACTAGTTCCTGCTCTGCTCTTAACACTCAGCCGGATTCTGAAAAGGCAGCCATCCTACCTACCTCATATGCTTCTTTGAAGGAAGCTTTGCTGGGGGTAGTCATGTCTGATGAGACCAAGGAATGCAATGTGCAATAGAAGTTGCCTAGGAAGAAACAATCAGGTTAGTATGTGACCGCAATTCAACCAGAAATGCTATTGGGGTGCAGATTTAATCTTCAGGATTAAATAAAAGGAGGATGTGGCAATGGCGGAATCTGAAACAAGGGTGTGTAATTTCCAGCCTGAGGGCCACATTTGGCCTTTGGGTAGGGTATAACACGCCAAAGAATGTATAGCACCAGAAAAGGACTAATTTTGATTTGATTACATATTCATGAAAAATAATTAACATTACCCCTTTGCAATCAACTATTTAATAGTCGTGTCATGTGTCATCGTCCCCCCCCCCCAGTCAACTATATTGGAAGTCTCTGGGGATGTAATGGTATGTAGGAATGACTTAGCAGATGAAAGAGATGCAGCCTAGGGAACAATCAGATAAGAGAAGGTACAGCCCACAGCTGCATAATGGGCAGAGAAATTCAAAAGGGAACCTCCCTTATTTCTCAGGCTGTAAAAAAGATGGTGGGAAATTTGTACTGTCAGATTTACAAGATTATGTTAATGTGGCCTTAGAATAAAATGCAATTGGCTTGCAAGATTGACGCCAATCTTCCCAAGTGGACCAGGCAGGAAATACAACCACTTAAGCTAAATCTATATTATTGTAAGGCTAAATTAACATAATCTTGCAAATCTTACACTTAGTATAAATTTCTGTGGTCTTTTTCACAGACTGAGAAGGAAGGGAAATTCCTTTCTGAATTGTGGACTTAACCTCTCTTATCTTATTGTTCCCTAAGCAGCATCTCTTCTGTCTTCTAAGGTCATTCCCATATACCATTACAGGATATCACTTCTAAGGCTGCTGGGCATAATACCCTGAACTTTTGGTTGTACGTCTCTATTCATACTCTGTCTGGAGACAACAAAAGAAAACAGGAAACAATACAGACAGAGTTCAGGCAACTCAAACCATTTCTGCTTCCCCTCTACGGCTGCGTCTGTCAGGCTTACCAATTATTGGCTCTAAGCTTTTCTCTCTACTTACCATCATCTTCATTGAAGACAAAATCTCCTAGTCGCAATGTTATTTTGCAGTAATGGCATTTGAAGCAGCCTCGATGGAAGAAGCGCCCTTCGGCACTGACCCGCTCCAGGATGTAAATGTGATCTCCACAGAAGTAGCAGGCATCACTGCTCCTCATCGGAGAGACAGGCAAAGTCTATCAGAAGATCAATAGTTTTCCTTAGGGTCATGAATTCTGAGCAGTCTTAAACCTCAAGCAGACTCTATCCTCAGGTCAGGTCAGTGCTGATCTGTGCTATCAGGTTTCATGGATCACCCAGATCAGAAAACCAACAAGGAATGAGGGTGTGGCAATCAAGTGGATGTACAAGATGATAGAAGCCAGAGCAATGTGCAAATGGGTAATTGCAATGAGTTGCAAAGTGAACACTATCAAGAGTACAATAGTTGTTCTATTTACCACCCAGAAATCCCAGTGCTGTTATCCAGAGAACAGAGGTCAAAGTACAGCTGTTCTCCATAGCACAACTGTTCTCTTAATAAAGGATATCAATTATAAAAGATATCCAACAGAGGTGTGTATGAGAGAGAAATGCCCTTTGGATTTCTTAATCTGACTGTTAATCATAACCTTACTCATTTTGAATATGATAAGGAAGAGTGAAATGTGAAGGAAGTCCCAGGTTTAATTCCTAGCATTGATGGAGGGGACTGAAAAAAAATAACAATGTCTGAAATCCTAAAGAGCTGCTATCAGTCACTATAGCAATTCTAGATTAGATGAACCCATGGTCAGATTTATGGGGGAGCTTCCTAGATTTCTAGAGACATATTTCAGATAGCATTATGTATTAAACTCCAGTAACTTAGCTCAAAATAAGGCAGTAAAATCCTTAGGGAGACAGATCCATTGGAGAGTCCCTGAAACATCCATCAAGGTAATCTTTTCATGAGAATGTGTGAACCTGAACAATGCTGTTGAGCTTCCTGACAGCATGTAACTGTACAAATGGGACCTAATAGCAACTTCATTCATTGTTTGGTTAATCCAGCTTCTTCCTCATCACCTGGCCCAACAGCTGTTTCAGAGAGCCTCTTGCTAAACAGGGAAACGAGTGTCTTGACCTCTGGTGGAAAAACTAATAGTTTGGGCACCATCCAAACTTTTGGCAGCTGTTCTGTGCAATCATACAAGCACATCTCAGCCACAAGAATTTCCCACAAGCCAAAATTTTACTGCAATAGTTTTGGGAAAGGGAAATGAATTGAACAAGTCTCAGTTGAGTTTTGAAAATGAATCTCTTACTGCCCCAGCCAAAATTCATTTGGAGTTGAGTAGCCAACAAGCTGGAGGATGGAATTTGTCAAATGACATTTGAATTCCAATTTTTACAGGTGGAGCTTAACCACTGGGATTAGAATTTAGATGCAGGGTTCAACATATTAGTCACAGAAAAGCTGTAGTTCATAAATTATGTATACTGAGGTTTCCATCTTGGTGTTCCAAAGTCAGAAAATTCGTACCGTTTACTACAATGATTTATACAACAAGGACTCATGTTTTTCATAAATTATCTACTAGGAATACTTATTCATTATAACAGAAGCCACTCTTCCTTCCTTCCTTCTCTAGACTAGATCTGATATATTACTTAAAACGAAACATCAGAAGGATTTTCAGGATAGATTGTAACAAAATTTACATGCAATCACAATATCCTTCCCTATGATAAATTCTACAGCTGATTATGAAGGATTGTTGAAAGATGATTGCACAACTGACAGCATAATCCCTTTCACACAGAACTAATCACAAATGAAATAACAAACTTAGTTCATATTTTGGATGTCAATTCCATGAACCCAGATCATTCCAACTAGAAATACTGTGAACTGACATGGCGGCCATAGATTCTCCATCCCTATTCTAGCTGACTGGTTTTAGGGTAGAATCAGCATGGCATAGTGGTTAAGGCACTAAACTAGGACCAGAGGAACCTCCCTCAACCATGGAGACTCAGTCCATGGCTCACTGATTTGGAACCAATCTTTCTTTTTCAGCCCAATTTACCGCACAGGAATGTTGTGGTTGGGATAATAGGAGGCAGGAGCATTATGTATACCTTCTTGAGTTGTACAAAACAAAGGTGTGATATAATAATTACAGGTCCTTAGGAAGGTAGCTAAAATGCTAAATGCCAACATCGGGCTGTGTGACCAAACATAATTATTATCTCACAAGTTTCCTGCTATGAGAAAAAAACATTTCTGTGGGGAAGAGGGACTCCTATGCATAGCCTCATGAATGGCAGGATATAAATATACACATAGTTTACATAACAACACTGAATATTTACTGTTCTAGTAACCTTATATCTTTTCAAGAGGAAGGATGATACTAAAAAAATGAATAAAAAACTATGATGGGAGAACTTACCCCAGCCTCTTGCTTTAACTTCTTGGATTCTGCATCCCAGGTAGACTTTTCCTACAATCAAAGATTCAAAGTTGTGTCTTTGAAATGTCAATAAAGAGGGAAGGTTCAGAACTCTTCCAGAGCATACTTAACCCCCCATGCTCCTTATTTTTAATAAAGATAAAGCAGAAATAGAAGAAACTGGGAATGTTTGGTTATAATCCTGCAATCTCTGCTGAGAAAGACTCACCAAATTCCGTTTACGTGAGAGAGATAAAGTCTTCTGTAGCTTGCTAAGAAACAGGATAGCACTTTTGGTGCCACATGGGACAAGAGGTTTCTCTGCTTTCTCCTTCCATTCTACAAGAGAAAATATGATACTTTTTGATACTGAATCAAGCTTGAGGTATATAGTTTCATTATTAAACCTATTAAAGTGGGGTGTGTACTCTGAACGATAATGTCTCTATTTCTATTGCAGGAGCAATATGAAAATAACAGGCCTAGGAACAGATATTCAATGAATGAACCATTGTAAACTTGTTATTTTATCTGACCTTCCAATTACACTGGTCCCACAACTATTATGGAATTCACAACCACACAGTATGGTAATGACACCAACTAGGACTTAAAAAGGTACTAGACAAATTCATAGAGGATGAGGACACCAATGGCTACTGGTTAGAATAGTTGGGTATTATTTCCAATATCAGGACATGCAGTTTTTCAATAATAGCTGTTATAGTAGCACAGTGGGGGGTGGGGGGATAAGATTGTGATGCCCCCATAAAAATCTGATTGATCATTGAGGAAGGGGAAGGATGCTGGATTATATAGGTTTCTATTTTGATCCAGCCTTGTTCATTCCCATCTAGTGCATACTGCAAGCCTTTATCTAAAAGAAGGGACAATTCTCTACAAAGGTTTAACAAATTGCTTATGCTAAATATTTATTGGCTGCACTCAGAACCGGGTTTTTTGGGGACATTCTACCTGGAGCAGTCCTGAAGGCATCATAAAATTGGCTCAAATAAGTGATCAAGCCAAGTTGCTCATTATCAGACAGGGAAGCCATTTCAGTGCTGGAGAGGACTGGAGAAATGCCAAGCTCCTGCTCAGCCATATCTAAAGCCAGTTGGTTGTTCCCAATGGGGTCATTTGGGTCCAATGAATTGAAGTCCCTACAGTTGGAAGAAACAAATTACAATGACTAATCTCAGCCCAGCTGTAAAAGATTATTTAAACATCAGGATGTTTTCTCCATCAATATTCCATTTCTGGAATATTGACTCTGTTGAAGAAAGAAAAAGGAAGCATAATTCATTCTCAGTTGCCTCCTATATCATAAACGTGGGTGGGAAAAGTGCTCTGTTTTAAACAGATGTGCCTTTCTGCGAACCTTTGTTTTAACTACACAAGATACTGCTATAAATAAAGCCAACCGATGATTTTAACTAGAAAAAGAAGTCTGCAAATTTTGTAAACCTGTAAAGGTTTTTTTAGAAGTGCTTCTACAGTTATTGCCAGCTCCTACTGTGTTTCTCCAACAATACAGCCTCCACCAATAGGACGGCCCAGCATGATTTCTAGGCATGAGGTGAAATTAAGCCCCTCCCCCAAAATTTAGGCCTATTCAAACCATGCTTTTCCCCGCCATTTCTCACATCGTTTGTTAGAACTACACGAGGTGAAGAGAAATGGGCGGGGGAAGGGCGGGGGGGATGGGGAGAAAACTTACCTTTAGGAGTGCCCTGCAGGTAGCCGAGGCTAGAATACCCCGATAGCCGATAGAAGCTCCATGAAGGCAGAGTCCCCAGCCGCTTCAGGGCGTGGCGTGGCTACCTGTGTCCCCTCGCCTTTAGGGCAGTCTCTTTCGGGCGATGGAAGCTCCCCAAATGCAGTCACCAGCTACTTCAATTGGCCGGTAGAAGCGGCCTTGCAGCGAGGGGAGTGTGTGTGTGCCACGTCTCGCCCTGAAGCGGCTGGGGACTCTGCCTTCAAGGGAGCTTCGATCGGCTGGTAGAAGCGGCCTCAGGGCGAGCGCACACACACACTCCCCTCGCCGTGAGGCCGCTTCTATCAGCAGACGAAAGCTCCCTTGAAGGCAGAGTCCCCAGCCCCTTCAGGGTGAGGCGTGGCTGCCCATGTCCCCTCGCCTTTAGGCAGTCTCTTTCGGGCAATGGAAACTCCCCAAATGTAGTCACCAGCCACTTCGATCGGCCGGTAGAAGC